TGATACATTCAAGGCATCATTGATCCAACTATTTGAATTTAGAGGATGAATCAGTGAGTTATTTCTTGATATGTAGACCATAGCCTTTGTCTTCCAGAGGATATTTTAATCAAAAATAGCCTAGAATCTTATTTAAACAGTTAATTCCAGCTGCTTTTTTTGATAATATATCATACATTATCTCTTTGATGGATGGGTGGCCAAATATGGATAAAATTAGCTTTTCAGTCATTCATTTTAAATTACTCTCGAGTTCGTTGGAAGCAAATTCCATTTTAGAAGAATATGCTTTAAGTCTGAGACAAAGAGATAATGGTCCTATATTTTATGCTATGAGTAATAACAGTTTAAGTCTTGTGATTCAGAAATGTGGGAACTTATGTATTGAGTTGATGAAAATTAGGGCTTGATAATAGCAATAAAACCAGCAACCTAAAGCTTCCTAGATTGATGTTCATAGCATAGTATTTTCCTGTCAAGAATTAGGTACGGTGAAAGTCTATGAAGATAATACATGGTGAAAAACTTCCCCCACTTGTTTATAAATGAAAAAGCTAAAGCCTATATGATAAGAGAAGCAGGAATGCTAAGATTTACTAATACACTGATAAAAATTGGCACTGCTATTGAATGTCTTTATTGAATAATGGTAGAAAGTGGAAAGTTAAGTCAAATGTTAGCAAAGAATAAAATGAATAATAATGTTGAATGCATACAAAAAGGCATGTTTAGCTTTAAATTGAAACTGAATTTACCATAATTAACCGTAAGAATTTTACTTTCTTAATATTAATAAACTACCCAATAAAACGTACTTAACAATTTCATTATTCAAGTCATTTTGCCCAAACTAGTCCATTTAATTTCAACCTGAAGTATATATTTTATAAAAAGTAGTAATTTAGAATATTTAACCATATTGCCCAAGAAAAGTTTAAGTTTAAAGCTGTATTTATAAACTGGGTTCCTGTTGTCACCTTGATATCACCTCTGAATCTTCTGCTGTAAAGTGGGGAAGGATGTGCTCACTGATCTCTGTGAAATAAAACTCAGGGTTGTTCTTTAATAGCTTCAAGTTCTGTGATCTTACCTTAAAAGAATCTGGACACTGATTTGTTTGTCTAGTAAAACCAGCAAGGTGCTAAGAAATGATCTCAGAAAGGAGTCTATCAACTCAGAGCAGAGCTGACCTATCATTCCTGAAGGATTGGCCTCTGCATGTCATGCGTGCTCTTACCAAGGAAATAGGTATAGATTTCAAGGGAAGGCTGTGCACAGTTTGCCACATGTCTTCAACTGCAAGGAATTGATTAGAGCCTCGGCTTCTCATTCTAAACTTCCATGTCTTCTAGAAAATACCCAATATACCTTTAAAAATATGTTAAGTCCCCAATAAGTTTCAGCATGAATGTCTACAAGAAATGGTTTCATGTCTGATCAGACACTGTGGAGCAGAATACCCAGTTTCTTTCATATGTAGGTAGGGTTGGATTCTTAGTGAATGTGACCTGGGGTGTTTCATGGGACCAGGGCCTCATTTAATGTCCTCCTGCCATTTCTCTTAGAAATCTTCATATATTTTAACTGGGATCTTTGAATTTTTCTTCTATATTTGGCCACATAAATTATACAGGATGTTCTATGTGTGTTCCCAGAACCTACATTAGTCATCTCATGGCCACCTGTTACTCCAGTTTCTGGAGATATGTTACCCTCTGACTGCCATTAAGTATGTGCACACATGTGTACACATAAACTCTCACAGGCACAGATACATACATAAAATTTTTAAAAACCTTTCAAAACATGAAAATCAAATGAATGCAACATGCACTGCATCTTCAAGTTATTTTCATTCTAGTATTAAAGATTAGTTGTGCATTTTTAATTTTCTCAAGATTATTAATAGCAGCATTAAACTGGTTGGTATAGAACCTTAAGTATCAGCCTGTTTAATTTGTTATAATTATTCCACTACACATATGTACTAACTCAAGGTCTTGGATTTTCCTAGACAATGATTATTTCCACACTTAAACTGATTATGAGAAATAAGATACAACGTTTAATGTGATTTCATCTAGGCTATAATTGGAATTTACAGTATGGACACCATAAGAAGTAATAAGCTAATAGACTATTGTTTGTTAAGCCGACTCTCTGGAGGAACACTTGGCGATGAATTCTGTGGAAATGATAATTAAATGTAATTGAAAACACAAGATTCATCAAAAGAAGAAAACATTATTTCTAATGATAGAAATGATTTTTATTATATTTCATTTTAAGTGTTAACAATCAACTTGACAAATCAATACTATGCCAAGACACAGGCTAATTTTTTTCACTTGTAATAGTCATATTATGTTAAAACTTGAAATGCCCAACTGGCTTGATCATGTATGTTCTAGATATTTATTAAATCATCACTTTTCCTGCTGACATTTTACTGAGCTTGAAAATATGCATGTGATTTTTCTGATCTTCAATTATTTCCATCTTCTCAGGAGTTGGCAATAAAATAATGATACTAAGGAAATACATATTTTGGCTAGGTGCTATAGCTTATTTTTAGTATCTTTATGAATTTTTAATGAGATATGAACACACAAATACTTATGCTACATTACCAAATAAAATGGATGTGTATAATTAGCTAGTACTTTGTAATCAGTTATTTTAAAGGAACAGGCTTCACTTAAAACACCAGCTGAAAGGTATAAGGTATTTTATTTTTTAGATACTTGAATGAATGTGTAGTTTTAACTCCACCTCCATGTTTGTGTGTATGCAAGCCCAATCCGAAAGGAAACTGGAAAAAGCTAGAGTTACTGTCTTGTTTGCTTTCATGAATAATAATGAAACAAGACCTATGCTTCAGTAGAATTTGAGCATGGCATTTTGTATAGCTCTATTGATTATCAGCCTAGTACATCCTCACATATAAAAGGAAGTGCTCTGGAAGATGACAGAAAGATTGGGTAAGGCATTCAAGCCATAGGATTTGTGCAGACGGATCTGTCAATAGTGCAGTTCCTCGTCCCTTTGCCTTTCTGGCTCTGTTTATTTGATCAGTGTTGAGTGGTCTTGCATATTGACTTGTAGAGCTGGAATTGATATAAACAAGGTTATTCTTTAGTAACCTGTCAGTTTGTGTCCTTGTTTGTTAACAGTGGAAAAACTATAAATGATGTCTTGCCTGAGAAAGCATATCAGGAAGTGAAGGAAGAGAGAATGCCTAGTTACCATAGACGTCATTTCTACAATGTCAGGAATTGACTATAGTGAAGCAGTTTCAAAAACTAGTTTTGCCTGTGATTCAAGTAAGGCCAGTTTTTATTGCAAAACAAATTGGAAACAACTGGGTGTCATTACTATTTGAAAGCTCTCCCATAACCTAGATGAAAAAAGTTGCAGTCCAGATTCCTTAGTGGAAAGATGTCCACTTCACCAATGGCTAGCTCCCAAAAATCAGATAGCAACGGAATACATAATATAATGAGTTTCAAGGTAATGCCTGAGCAGCCAGTCTCTAAATACCAACATGATAGCATCTGTTAATACTGCACAAGAGTACTTCCAAAGAACTTGCGAAGTTCATTTTATACCTTTGATCCATGAATTTTAACTTGAAATATTAGCATATTTGTGGACTAATAATAGTTTGTTCTTTTCTGTCACTCATAAGAATATAATTCTCAGGCATAACATGTACCATAATGGAAAGACTCTTATCTTTTTATAAAACATTACTAAGTTTTTATTCAAGCAAACACATATGACTTTTTAAAACTTGGAATCAAATTAAGAAATATAAGATGATTTCAAAGTGTACCAATTTTTCCAGTGGTTTTGGATGAGATATATTCAATGATGTTGAAATATCAGAGTGGGAGCAACACACCTGAAAATTTTGAAAGCTATAACAAAGATATTTGTTCAGAATGAGGTTTTAAGCAATGCTCTATAGTCACTTAATAACATATAACATATGAAGTTTAATTTCAAAAATAGACCAAAAAGCATTTCTACCACTGCTACAATAGTAGCCAACTTGATACCCATTCACATTTCCAGTGCTTTAGACAATTTTAGTCTCAATGAATATTTCCTTTTTATTTTTTGAGACAGGGTTCTCTGAGTAAAAGTTCTGGCTTTCCTGAATCTCACTTTGTAGACCAGGCTGGCCTCGAACTCACTGAGATCCACCTGCCCTTACCTCCCAAGTGTTGGGATTAAAGATGTACACCACCACTACCTGGCCTCAATGAATATTTTTGTCTGACTGACTCAAGTGCCTCTTTTGAAACTAGTGATCAGTTTGAATCTGAACTTAGAGAACTGTAACTCACATTTTTAGTGATCTTTCACAGATGTTTGAAAAGGATTTAAATCTTACTGCAAGTCTTATACCTCTAATAGAAGTTGTTTCTGTTTGTTTCAGTATTAATTCAGTTTTTGAGTGGTGTTTGGCTTGCTTGAACATCTGTGCATCCCAGGTTTGGAGTGCCCGCCAGAGGCCAGAAGAGGGCATCAGATTCTCAGAAACTGTAGTTACAGATGGTTATTAGTCACCATGTGGATGCTGAGAACTGAACCCAAGTCCTCTGGAACAGAAACAAGTGCTTTAGTCACTGATCCTTCTCTCTTGTGTTAGTTCTTAACAGTAACCCTGTAACCTAGGAAGTACACAATATATTGTGAATATCACCGCTTCTATGGGTGACAAGACCCAGAGTTTTGTTTCCCATCATGATACCTACTCCCTGTTTTCAGTATGGTTTATTTTTCCTATGGTTGAGTTTTGTTGTATGTACAAAATAGAATAATAATCAGATTATTTATTGAGCAACCACTCAGCATTTATAAATATCGACTTTCACATTGAAGGCATTCAAGAACTTCATTCTTATGTAAGCCATTTTCTAGAAAAAACAAATAGCAACCAAAGGACAAGTTGCTATATTTTGATCATTTTCCCCTTTCTATTCCTTCACCAGATGATGACTTTTTTCATGAACTCCCAGAAACCTTTCCATCTGACCCACCTGAACCATTGCCACACTTCCTCATTGAGCCCGAAGAAGCTTACATTGTGAAGAACAAGCCTGTGAACTTGTACTGTAAAGCAAGCCCTGCCACCCAGATCTACTTCAAGTGTAACAGCGAGTGGGTTCATCAGAAGGACCACGTAGTAGATGAGAGAGTAGACGAAACCTCGGGTGAGTTTGGGATTGCGATTCAGGTTTCACTCACTTACTGGGCTGTTGTCACAATACTGCTTCAGGTAGCAGAGCTGAAAATGCAGCTGTTATCCTTTGGCAAAAAGCTTTTAATTAGTTTTAAGAATTAAATACATGCAAGTCAATACATGCAAATCAAGACATTAAGAATAAACTCTTATTGTTGGACTACAGGACTAATCAATATGCAATGTGGAGCCAATAGATTGAATTAATGTTAAATATCCTAGCAAATAATGTCTGTGAATTTCACTTATATTGTAGTCAAAGATAAATATCCTGAAATCCAGGAACATTGTGTAAATGGGGACACATTATGCTTGTTGATATCACTGCCTAATGTTGATCCACATACATATTTTTATATTATTTCATATAATATTTTAATTAATTCTTTAAAAATTAGCTATCAGTGAAGTTTCCATGATGCAAATTTTTTATTTTATGCTACTAATTAAAGTAGTTTTATAATGTCTTAAATTTCTATTAAATTAGTAATACAGATACCTTTCTTCTGTGCTTTAAGTGTTTTTCACCTCCAGTAGGAAGAACAGCACTTTAAAAAAATTCAGATCAAAATTTGTAATATTAAGGCATATACTGTAGATGTTAAGACTTTATTAACCAACATTTCCAAGCTAAAAGGAAATAGAAAAACAGAAATTGAAAACGCTTTTAGATCTTATCTTGAGCAGATATCTTTCCATACAAAACAGATTCAGGTTTTCAAAACTGCTTAAGTGTTGGCTTAATCAGAAACAAGTACAGCCTAGCTCGTGACACTTGCCTACTTCAATGTCCCCAGCAATAGTATCATTTGAAGAGATGGTAATTAATGATGTACACAAGGACACTGAGCCATCCTGAGAAGAGGCCAGTCTAAGGAACATGTAGAACATACAGAGTATAAGTGGTGGCAGGAAATCAAGCAGCAGTTCTATTTACTTGTTGGTCATTTATTAATCAGTATGTTCACTGACCATAAGCTGGTGACTACAGAAAAAACTGAAATCCAGTCGTGAACAAATACATCAGGAAAATGCCTCACCTCTTTGTTTAGCTATGGAGAAAATAATTCTACATGATGTTGATAAAAAAATCTCAAGTGAATTGAATTTTATTTGATTTCAACTAACTTTTTGTAAAGATTTCAAATACAAAGATTTTTAATGATGAGTGCAAGTATCACAAATACAGAAATGAGAATCACAATGTATTTAGGCATGTCTTTAGTAATTAAAGACGAAGGTTATAAATAAAGCTACTGATATTCGGGTAACTTCTGAATACTGATAACTCCTGGAAACTTCTCACTATGTTAGTAACACACACATACATACACACACACACACACACACACACACACACACACAGAGAGAGAGAGAGAGAGAGAGAGAGAGAGAGAGAGAGAATTCTATGAATATTGGTTATATTTATATATGTATATATGTTCTATATACAACATTTATTTTATGTGTGTCAATAATTACAATTATCTTTAAAGTATCTACAAACTAAAAAAGATTACACATTTTCATTCAAATTCAGGATGAATGCATGAGGATTAAGAAGTTTGAGTTCTGGTACCTGAGATCAAAGAAAGAATCAAATGCAATATAATTTTCTTGGCTTTTATTTCCAAATGAAACTTTGCAAGAAAGTTAGCAACTATTTTCATATTGCCATGATAAACACATATAAGATGATGATATCTAGAGACATTAGTACTGAATGAATCATTCCAACATATTAACAAATGTTTTAGATAACATAAATCATTTATGAAAAATAGCATAATTATATATATATTTAATAGCCAACTTCAAGGAAAACTACAAATATTGAGAATTCAGAAAATTAGCTGGTTAAAATACTGTAATATATTAATTTTTCTATGTACAGATAAACAATTCAGTTTCAAATGTAATGAGACATGCCACTTAGAATATCAATGTAATAGAAATGATAGTCATAAAGTTAAGAAATTTGAAGGGATTTTTTGTTTTTTGTTTGTTTTATGACACTGGTAAAAGGCCTAAGAATTCATGGATTCCAAGCATGGTCTCCACATAGCCAGATTTAGAAAGAAAATTTTCAAAATCTACTGTTTGAAAAATTTATGTGTGAACAGAACACACACATACATGTATATTGTTCTTAAATAAAAGGCAAAATACTTCTGAGGCATCTATCATTCATAATTGATTCTGTTAGATCACCATGATTTTATATAGAATAAATTCTAAAAAGAGCAGGGTGAATTCTGAAATATAAGCACAGTCGAAGAATCTTTATAAACATAAAATGAAAAGACGCTAAAAGGGACTTGGTCTTCACAGAAGACAAAACACAGATTAACAGTTGTAATTGTTTAGATAAAATGCTAAAATACCTAAAGGTATCAGAATATGATAAGTACTCTTTGTACCACTTAAAAATTAGCTGATTAATACAGGCATTAGAATAACAAGGTAGGAAATTGGAAGGGAAAGAGATACATGAAACATGCATTCCGTTTCATTTTTTGTAGTAAGTTCTAGATTTTAGAACTTGACATTACCACTACCACCACAACCCCATCACCATCATTGTCACCATCATCACCATCACTATTATATTTCTTACTAATTGTTGGTTGGTTACTGAATTTTCAGTAAGGGACAGCCAAGCTTTTTTTTAATCATTTTTTATTTTAATTTTAAATAGCTTGTTTTACATGTCAATCCCTGTTCCCTCTCCCTGCCCTCCTCCCACACTCCCCTTCTCCCCCCCCATTGCCAAATCCTTCCACATAGGGGATATCTAGAGTCTGTCATTTTACTCTGGGTAGGGTCCAGGCACTCCCCTAAGAGTCCAGGCTGAGAGAGCATCCCTCTTTGTGCTATAGGCACACGAAGACTGTTTGTATACCAGGGATAGACACTGATCCACAGCTCAGGGCCCCATAGGTTGCCCAGGCCTTCTAGCTGACACTCACATTTGGGGGTTCCAGATCAGTCCCATGCTGGCCTCCCCACTGTTGCTCTGGGGTCCAAGAGCTCTTCCCTGTTCAGATCAGCTGTCTCTGCTGGTTTTGCCAGCCCATTCTTTGCCAATTTGCTCATCACTCCTCTCTCTAGAGGCAAACACACAATTAATCACTGAACTGAACCCAAGAAACCCAGTGACAGCCAAGCTTTTTAAACCAAAACGTCTTATAGGAAACCATTATGTATTAAATTTTAAAATACCACATACAGAGCCAAGGAGAATATCTTTAAAAACGTATATCAACATTGATGAATATGAGTCAAAGAGATAACTTCGTTACTGTGTAAATATCATTTAAATTATATTTCGGGAAATGTACCAGCATCCTAAAGAAAATCTACCAGTGTTTGATCATGGAATTAGATGAAAATATGCTAATTATAAGTAAGCATCTAAGGAGATGTTATCTAGTTAAAACATGGATGAAAGATCATTTTTTTAAATAAAACTGGGGCACAAATTGGAATGCCAGTTTGAAAACAGTACCAATATTGAAATACGTATCCATCCTTCCTGTATGTAAATAGTCTAGGTACTTCCTACAAGTAAAAATTCTGGGTACCACAAAGATTCACCATTTTCTGGTTGCGCACTATGCCCTCTTGATTATGTTCATTCTTAGAATGAATAACTATGATTTTTTAACAGTGAAGGTGTGAAAAATTCTCTCAGATAAAATCAAAAACAAAATCCCAAACACAGAAAACAGCATTCCTAGTATGTATTATCACTGTGCAAAGAGGATGCACGTGGTTTTGTATATAAAGTGAAATCTTCTGTGTAAATGCACACCAAGAAGTTGACAGCGAAGAATCTAGGGTGACGAGGTGAGACATATTATTTGGGATTTTTTCAGTCCTGTGAATATATTATTTTCATCATAAATAATGAAAACCTCTAAAAGGCCCACACCACTTTATTGCATCTCTTTGCCAGGTATCATAAATCTTCAATCAGGACAAACTGTAGAAACGTCTTGGTCTCTTATATTATAGTTCTTTGCCATTCTCCAAGACTAAAATCTCCTAGAATGAAATGGGAATAGAATTCGTTATGGGTTTTCTTTGTTTGCATGTTGTGTTTCCATAAAAACACATTTGCCTGCAACTTGGGTCCTCAGCTCTGTACTTTAACAATCTGATCTTATTATTTTGAGCGTACCATGGTGGTTTTCTATAGCAAGAAATACTATAATCTATTGTCTTGAAATACATTGAAAAACTGAAAAGTATTATTAATATCTTTAAAACATTGCTCTTAAATTACAGAACAGGCTGGAGCCCTTGCAAGTACATTGATTTTTATAGAATCTCTTCCTTAGAACAACATATGTAAACATATTTAGTAACAGTCATATTTCCTTGTAACTAAGAATAGTTAATTGCACTCAACAAAGTCTCTGGCAAAGATACCTTCACATTGAAAAATTAATAAACACTTCTAATGACAGAACTCTTAAAAATTCTGCCACTTACTCCTATCCAAAAGCCTTACACCTGGAAGCCAGCACCCAAGGCAAGCCTGGGATAACTTGTGTGTTCAAGGCCACTCTAGGCTATAGCTTAGACCCAGTTTCAAACAAATTCAAATGGAAAACTTAGTGTCTTTCTTAAATTATGAAATCTTTCTGTGGTCTCTCATCCTCTGCATGTGAAACTAATGACTGTTTTCCCTCAGCAAAGTTGTATCACTGACCTAAATGAAGTCTACTTATTAAAGACCCTTATCACATTTGCTGTTTGCCTTTTCATCATTTAAATCAAGTTACATTTTTTATATGCCTAAGAAGCCAAAGGAAAGGCAGAAGTGTTACATAGTTTACAGTGTTCAATATTCAGAAATTCTTGATCTTGTGATACAATAATTGATTACCTTCAAAATCACATTGAAATAACTATTCATTTTGATATTATGTGTATGCATGTTTTGCCTGTATGTATGTATGGGCA